TCAATTTAAATTTCAATTTAAGAGTGCTTTATTGGCATGACAAAAATTATACATTTGTATTGCCAAAGCAATTGCAGCTGGACTGCTCACAAATAGTACACATGTATTAACAGAAAGAAAAATAATAATAGTTTCTGTATAATATATAAACTAGAAATAAAAATAAAACAATATAAGGGATTAGACAGGTTGACAGAAGCAAAATGTACATCTAAGTAATATAATAGAGTAATCTGGCCTAATATAATGTAGCTGTGCTGGAAACATCAGATCAGGGCAGGCTGAGTGTGTTCTCTTCTGTGGTGACAGGCAGACACATATTGAGCAGCAAACACACAGCAGTTCTTCTGTTCTCCTAACAGATACGCCACTTTCTCCTGGTCTGAGAGAGTTTGAAATGTCTGATGGATCTGCTGTATTTTCTCGTAGAACACTGTCCGTATATCTGTGTATTTGGGGCATTCTGTTAGGAAGTGCAGCTCTGTCTCCATCTGATTCAGATCACAGTGTGAACACAGTCTCTGCTCCGGTGGCAGCTCTCTCTCGCTCTCTCTCTACCGTTAAGTAACTTTTGCATTGTTTTACTTACTTATTTTTGACATATCCGACCGAACGACAAACTTTCCAGTGATGTCTGTGAGAAAGATATATTCACTCGACAAGCTCGTGCATCTGCGCCGCCGCGCGCTCAATCCACTCAGCGTGCTTTGCTCATCAGCTCGCGCACATCAGCTATACAGGCGTTAATACTGAATGTTTTATATTCATTGCATACATATACTTCGTAGTAGACATCCTTAACTCCATTCTGCTGTCTGTTGTTCTGTTGTTGGTGTTTCTTTGTTTGAATATGGCGCTTATCACATGCTGTGTGGTATTGGGGCATTTTAATGAGTACGAGTACGAGTACAGGAGACCAGTATTGGGCCTGATACCGGTATCGGTATCGGTGCATCCCTAAATACAACAAAATAGAATACATTTCAATGTTGCTATAGAACAAAACTGACCGATATTTAAATCTTGTAATAGAACCAAACTGACTTATTTAAATATTTTTATAGAACAAAAGCCCATATTTAAATTTTGTAACGGAACAACACCAGATGACATTGTAGTCGTTAAAGATCAATGTCAATGTCGTTACAGAACAAAACCAAACAATATTAAATTTTTCGTAATTTAGATCAAAAGCAACTGATATTTCAGTGTAGAACAAAACTGACCAATATTTTAATCTCGTAATACAACAAAATAGATTACATTTCAATGTTGTTACAGAACCGAATCAACCGATATTTCAGTCTCAGAATAGAACACAACCGACCGATATTTCAATGTTGTTATAGAACAAAACCGACCGATATTTTAATCTCGTAATACAACAAAATAGATTACATTTCGATGTTGTTACAGAACCGAATCAACCGATATTTCAGTCTCATAATAGAACACATCTGACCGATATTTCAATGTTGTTATAGAACAAAACCGACCGATATTTTAATCTCGTAATAGAAAAAACCGGCTAACATTTTAAATCTGTAAAGCATCTGAGATGAGCTGCTCATGTGTGAATTCTCCTGTGTTTCTGCAGAAACATCCGTCGCAGCCGCAGCCGAAATATATAAAAATATATATATACATTTGATTTGATTTCACTTGATTTTTTTTTTCAGGTAACTTTTTTTAATGGTTTTGGTTTTAGTTTTAAAGAATCATAATAACCCTGACTTAAAGTACTAAAATGACTAAATCAAAAAATAAAACAAACTAAAACTGAAATAAAAAATAATAACAAATAATGAAAGTTAACAAAGACAAATAAACAACAAAAACTAATAAACGTATGATGATGACACACATTTTATTATTAAAACTTAATTGAAAACATTAATAAATACTATAATAACACTACTTTAATGATACTAAAATACAATTTTAGTCTTGGTTAAAGGGACAATTTACCAAAAATGAACGTTCTGTTAATAATTGTTTTATGTAAATAAATAAAATAACTCAAATTGTTCACACACTCCATATTTTAATGACATGAAATGATTTGCAGACTGAATTGAATAGATTACACACGCATGGCAACATTTGGATTGGGTTTGTGTGAGGCGATGTTGCCAGCTTCAGTGCTTTAAGAGTGAATCATTTTGTGAAGCGATTCATTCAATTGATTCAGAGATTCAGAAAGCTTAGTTTCTCCCAATGCTAGTGTTCGACAAACTGTCAAGCGCCACAAATGACATGAAAGCATCATAATAATAGCCATTAAACATTTACATAAAGGTTCTGCAAAAATCTCCTTTCATGTTGCTTATAAGAAAATAAGAGTGTACAGGTTTGGCACAAACAGTGTTGGTGTGTGAGTGTGTGTAACTGTAAGCGGTGTGTGTTGTGTTTGTGTGTCAGCGAGCAGCAGGAATTGGTCAAACGGATCCAGTCGTGTGGTTCGGATCGCTTGCGGCGGGATCTGGAGCGTGAGATGGAGGCGCTCGTGAAGAGGATGGAGAATAAAGCAGAACAGATCGCTAAAGTCCGGCGACATCAAACTCAGGTAACACAATGCAACTGAAGATACATGTATACTGTAAAAGCAGCTCATGGTAGAAGTACCAAGACTGCATTTATTACAGTAATACAGTAAAATACTGAAATATTATTACAATTTAAAACAGCTGTTTTCTATGTGAGTATCTGTTAAAACATTATTATTATTAATATTTTTCATTTTTATTACATGAAGGGTTTATTACGTGTTAAGAAATATTTCTGGAGCAGAATAAAGGACAGACTGAATCAAAAATTACCCAGAATTCCTGTGCTGCTGTGTTTGGTAGCACTTTACAGTGAGATCTCATTTGTTAACATTAGTAAACGCAATAACTAACATCAACTTACAACTTCAGCATCTATTAATGTTACTTAATTTTTTCGTATTTAAGTTTTCAGTGCATAAATATTAAGAGAGAAAACATTTGATCTTAATTCTTTGAAGATTTTTATTGTCAGTTCATATCAACTAATGAAGGTATCTAATGTTAGCAAATGGAACCTTACTGTAAAGTGCTACTTTTTACTAATTCTTCAGTGTTTCAGGTTTATGATCTTTTCAACATTCCAAAGATTCCAGCATTTTTTGTTTTCTTTGGTAAAATGATTCGGCTTGTATTATAATGTTTACATATTTCTGTTGGCAGTCATTCTGTTTGTTTCCGTGATGGAGTGAAATGTGAGTGCTTTAATGAATATATATGATGGATTTTATTTGAATTGAGCAGAGATTTATTAAAGATGCAGTCGATTTTAGTGTGTGTGTGTGTGTGTGTGTGTGTGTGTGTGTGTGTGTGTGTGTGTGTGTGTGATGCACCGGTGCTCTTGCGTTGTGTGAGAATGACTTTAAATATGTTTGAAATATTTATTTTTACAGCACTGAATAAAAACAAAGTGAATGACGTGTTTGAGATTTGTTTGTTTCAACTGAGTTTATTTGAATGGACCCTTTTATTTCTTCATTCATAATCCTCGTGTAAGTTAAAGACACAATGATCTGTACAGAATATCTACACACACACACACACACACACGTGTCTCCAGACAGACGTTCAGAAAAACCATCGGCAAACCATTCTCACTTCATATCATTCTGTAACACTTTACAATAAAGTCTCATTTATTAGCATTAATATTTAGCTAACACGAGCAATATTTTTTTTGCAGCACTTATTAATAATAAAAAAAGTTTAGTGTTAGTTGACGCATTGATTTTAACAGATGCTTGATTTAAAAATGTGTTTGTTAATGTTACAATAAATTCTGTATCATTATAAATAAAAAGAATATTACAGTGTTTTACAAGAAAATATTTTAGTCTTGCCACTTCAGAATTGTTTATTGAATGTTACTCGCTTTTTGTGAAATTTACTAGCACGTGAAAATGGTTTTAACATTAACTACACTTGGAAAAAAAAGGTGTTAACTAATGTTGAGAAGCTTTTCAAATTGATTTAAAAAATGTATTCATAAATGTTGAAATGAATAAATTCCGCAAAGTATCATTAATTGTTACAGTGTAAAAATTGTAAAGTTGTAAACCGAAAACATTACTGGAATTGTTCCTTTGTTTTTAATTTTTATACTATTTTAGTCTTTCTACTTTGACAATTAAGTCAATGTTTTATTTGAAACGTTGTCAAAGTCAAAATTGTTTCAAAAACAAATACATTTTTAAAGTTAACTAATGTTAAGAAATGTTAATGTTAAGCTTTGTACTTCTGATTTTTATTGAGTTTTGATTACGTTGCACTGCATGTTAAGACATGCTTTTAAATGTTTGGTTTTAAAACTAGATTTGTATATTTTGAAATTCCTTGGATGTGCAACAAAATAACAACTACTAAAAAAAACATTCTAAAAATGTAACATTGGGCAGCTGGAAAAACACTGTGCTCCCAGAATTGTTACAAGTTTTAAAAATGTAACACCAGGCTGCTGGAATTATTACATATTCTAAAAATGTAACATCAGAATGCTGGAATTCTTACACGTTCTAGAAATGTAACACCAGGCTGCTGGAATTGTTACAGGTTTAAAATGTAACACGGGGCTCCCAGGATTGTTACAAGATTTAAAAAAGTAACATCAGGCTGCTGGAACTGTTACAGTTTTAACAAATTTAACACCAGGCTCCCAGGATTGTTACAAGATTTTTAAAAAAAAAGTAACATCCGGGTGCTGGAATTATTACAAGTTCTAAAAACCGTGACACTGGCTGCTGGAATTGTTACAAGTTCTAGAAATGTAACACTGGTCTGCTAGAATTGTTACAAGTTGTAAAAATGTAACACCAAGCAGCAGGAAGTATTACAAGCTCTAAAACAGCAACACCAGGCAGCTGGAACTGTTACAAGTTCTAAAAACGTAACACTGATTTAAACATGTATCACTAGACACCTGTAATTGTTACAACTTTTAAAAAATGTGACACTGGGCTGCTGGAATTGTTACATTTCATTCATCTAGTTGTTTAGGTGAAATATGATTTTTCATTTAGAATAAAATGTTTAGCTATTACAACGGGGCCACTGAGAACATAACTTTTTCAGTCCAAATGTCTGCGTAACATTACACACTCCGCCGACTGCGCAGCACCATCCATCGTCCTTCATCGTGCAAATGGCAAAAAGGAGACAACGAACCTTTCCTCAAAGCCTCGTCGGTAACTACGGAATTTTACCAAGACACAATCCGTCAGGTGACCTTTGCCCTAGCGACGTCATTGGTCGTGTTTGTCGCAGTCGTCATCCAGGCAACCGTTCATGCGGTGCGAATCGTCTCCGAAGGCGCCTTGAGACTGCAGCAGCTCGAACTCCTCGTCCAGAAAGTCCAGCGAGTTGTTGCTCGGTAGTCCGCGGATGGTGAACTTGTGCGAGACTTTGGCCCACTGCTCGCGGTTGGCGGCCACGCGCTCGTAAAGCTCGGCCGAACGTGGGAAAATCTCCTGCAGGAGCCTGAAAGAAAGCCAGCAGAGTTAAGTTAAACTCTAGAGCTGGGGCCTCATTTATAAAATGTTGCACAGAAACCAATGTAGTCAATGTGACCCTGGAGCACAAAAGCAGTCATAAGCAGCACGGGCATTCCAAAAATTGACCCTTATGACTGGTTTTGTGCTCCAGGGTCACTTATGATCGTTGGTGTGGATTTAAGCGCATGCACACTCTTAAGATCAAATCTGTGCGTATGCACGCTTTATAAATGAGGCCCCTGCTCTTGATGAATAACCAGCGTCACATGCATGAAATGAGTGATTCTCTGACTTGTATATTGGCATGGCGATGTGCTCCATGAAGCTGATCTGGAGTTCAGGGATGTATGCTTTCTCACGGTCCATCATCTCACTGGGTCTGTTTCCCATCGCCTTCTCCTGAAGACACAAGAACAGAGTCTTGTGAATCATGAATTTATAAAGCTCTAAATTATATGATTTGCTGTTAAACATGTTTCACACTCAATCTCCTCATGTCTTCTGTCTCTGATTGAGAGTGTTTTATCCAGTCGAAGCTCTTTTAGTGTAACTGAACAAACGTCCAGCTTCAGCTGCTGCTTCTCGTGTCAAATCTTGACTGATTTTAATCAAGTAAGCGTCAGAATAATATCTCCAGATGAACACTTACTGCACTGAAGCAGCTCAGCTTTACTTGATTCTCCATCAATCATGTTTTAGAGTCTCAAATCTGATCCTCAGGATCTTTTGAGGAGCGTTTGTTTCCAGAAGCTTTACTTTCACTGTTCCTCAGCGGAGGAATGATCTTCACAAGCCTCCAGAACATCTCACATCTTCTGAGGAGCCTTTATTTCTTCAGCTCTCAATCACTGCATTATATGTTTGGAGCATTTCACTCTCATCTCACTGAGACAGATTACTGGAGATATAGACTGACGAATTATATTTATATCATTTTATGTCAGTATCTGCAGAATCTACTGTTATAAACATCTCACTGATTTACAGCACAAGCATCAGGATTTCATCATAGAAATATCAGCATCTGCAGCAAATTTAATAATTTGAGTTTGAGTCTCTGAATAAGATTAAAGCTTTTTCTCACTGTATCAGACTATATGAGCCATAAAAGCAAATAAAGGTTTAATAAACATTAATTAAAACAAATTTAAATTTAAAAAGCCACGCTGGAAATAAATCTTAGTAATTAGAAAAAAAACAAACCTGAAAATATTATAATACTATAGTACAACAAATAAATGTTTTCCAGTGGTATGTCAAATATCTCAGCATTTTCTTTTGATTAATTAAAAAAATATATATATTAATTTTTTTTACATGAATAATGGAACCCAGGCAGAATTTCAACATTTGTCTGATGAATCAAACTTTCTGAATTTTGTTTAAATTTAGCAAATTGCAAAATCTTTTCAACATATATTCAACAAATTTTGATAAAATTTTAACATTAACTTCTAATTGTTTGTTAACCTTTTTACAACCATTTAGTATTATATATGCAGATTTCTTAAAGTTTTTTTTGCTATTGACATGTTGAAAGTTGGTCACATGTCGGCTGGAAAGGTAATTAAACGAGTGTTTTTGATCAAGTCAAAGAAACCTCTCTGAACTAAAAACACTTCAAACATAATACTGCTGTTTAACTCACCAGATCCCCCTGAGAGAAGAACTCTTTATAGATCAGCTCCTGCGAAACAAACACAGACGAGTGAGAGAGAGACCGTGTTTGGCTGAACTCATGAGTCTGTGAGCTTCAGGACTCGTACCGCGATCTTCCTGGTGGTTTTCCAGCCCTTGGTCTGGTCTGAGAGGTCACAGGAGGTCATGAGGAGGCACAGCAGCAGACTGCGATGGGCTTGACTCCTCGGGTTATAACCACAGACACACACACACACACACACACACACACACAGACAGACACACACACACACACACACGATGATGAAGAGGCTAATACTCACATCAACTAATAACTCAGCCAAGATCTCACAACAGCGGTTTTATTTCAGTTCAGTTATATTTTATTTTTCAGGACTAACTGGTGTTATTTTAGTGTCATTGACATACTATCATAGTTTTAAATAATATTTTGAATTCATTTTTATTTTATTTTATTTTGTAGCTTTTTTTTAATATGTCCAGTTTAGATTTTAAATTGTATTATTATTATTATTTTATTTATAGTTTTTTTGTTTATTTTTGTTTTAGTTTGAGTCATTTTTGTTATTTTAAGTTCAACTAAATGAAAATGTTTCTTTGGCAACTTTTTCGTTAATGTTTATTTCAGTTAGCGAAAGTGTTTTTTTTTTAAATGATTTCAGTTTTAGTTAACTATAATAACCCTGTGGCTGACATTTGTTAATATTACATTATAATTTTTATTTTACAAAATTAATATTTTTCTCTCAATGCATTGATTTATTTGTGACCTGAGATTCAGCTGAAAACAATCCCGCCGGGTCTCACCATCAGCCATCTTCTGCAGGTCCCTGAAGATCCTCAGGTGATGAGCCAGATCTGTGGCCAGGATAATGTCTCTTATCAGATCCAGCATCCGCTGATAGTCCTGAACACAGAGAGAGCACAGCATCACGGTCAGCATAACAAAACCAGTGACGGATTTTTCCCTGTTTTAATCAGAGTCGAGGAAGGCGTGATGCACCTTTCTGGAGAACTTCTCAAAGATGTTGCAGCCTTGTGTGTTGAGGATGGCGATGGCCTGAGCGAAGTGATGTCTCTGAAACACACACACACACAAACACTAGATCAGTGCTGAGTGTGTGTGAGCGCGGTGAACAGCAGAGGGCAGCAAACACACACCGTAAAACGGGTCTGAAATGATCACTCAGACCACATTCACAGCAGCTACTCATCCATCAATCACTCAAAACAACACTTTAAACGGTGCCGGTTATGTGTGGATTCAAAGTAAAACAACTGTATGATAGCTGTATCCATAGACAGAATTTGGGACGCATGTAAACAGGGCTATAGTCATATTGTGTGAGTGTGGGCCATATTTTGGGGATAAATTTGTACCAGGAATGAGCTAAACCTGACAAATCCTGCCAAAACAAAACACAACCTCTTTGTGTGAGTGTGCGTGTGAGCGTGTGTGTGTGTGAGCATGTGAGTGAGTGTGAGTGTGCGTGTGTGTGTGTGTGTGTGTGTGTGTGTGTGCGTGTGTGTG